TTTCATTTATATTTATATTTATATATAATTATAAAACCACCTCTTAATCCAATTATCTGTTGGTGGGCACTCTGGTTATTTCATGTCTTGACTATTATAGTAAATGGTGCTGCTATGAACTATGGGGTGCATGTATTTTTTTCAAATTGCTATTTTCATTTTTTCTGGATGTATAGCCAAGAGTGGAATTGCTAGAATGTATGGTACTTATATTTTCAGTTTTTTAAGGAACCTCTATACTGTTTTTCTTAGTGACTGTGCCAATTTACATTCCTACCAACAGTGTACAAGTGTTCCCTTTTCTCTATATCCTCTCCAACGTCTTTTTTTGTATACTTTTTGATGATAGCCATTTTGACAGGAATGAGGTGTAACCTCATTGTGGTTTTGATTTGCATTTCTCTAATAATTAGCAATATTAAATATTTTTCATGCACCTGTTAGCCATCTGTATGTCTTTGGGAAAATGTGTATTCAGGTCTTCTGCCCATTTATTGATTGACTTGTTTGATTTTTTTTATATTGAATTGTATGAGCTCTTTGTATATTTTGGATATTAACCCCTTGCTGGTTGTATCATTTGCAAATATTTCCTCCCTGGGATGACCTAGTTAGACATTAGAAAGGATAGTGACATTATTCTGTAAACTTTTTCTTCCTCAAGTATGTATTTCTGCTTTTTATTTTTCTGATCTGTCCATACCATCCAGGGCCTCCCATACTAAGTTGAAAAACAGCACTGATATCAGGCATCCTTCAATCATAGAGGAATAGTTCTACATTTTCCCTGTAATGATAGTTTCTGTGTATTTCTGTGGGTGGTTACTATGGAGTTTACAAAGGTCTTTTAAAATCCTGTTTACTAGTTCATTTTATCAAGAATCATTCATGTGCATTAGTAGTGACCTTGGACTAAAGGGGAAATTCTGCAATAAAGGAAAAGGGACAGCTGATAAAATAGGAATATGGACTAAAGCTCAGATAACATTCTTGTTCTTGGGAAACACACTGAACATTTTTAGGGGTAAAGAGACATAATATATGCAACTTACACTCAAATGATTCAGGAAAAAAATAACAGAATGGGGAGTAGGGAGAGAGAATGAACAAGAATGAAAAAGTAGCAAAATGTTAAAAATTAGGGAATCTGGATAGAGGCATACTGGAGTCTTTTATACAGTCTCTGATCTTTTTCTCTGTCTGAATTCATTTCAGTTTATTTTAAAAATAAGCCAAGAACAGGTAAGACACTCCTAAAGAGGAACAATGGCATAGGGAATAGCTCTATTAGGCGTTAAGAAACATAGTCAAGTTAGATTAACAAGGACCACTGGTACTTATGCAGAGAATTAGACCAACTAACCAAAGAAACACAACATCAAGCCCTGAAACATACCCAAATAAATACAGAATTTTTTTCAACAGCTGATTTGGCACTGCTGATCAGCAGAGAAAGTTGAACTTCTAAACACGTTACCCCTATGAAATTTTTATGTCCATTGGAGGAAAAATTAAATTAAGACATAAATTGATCCCATATACAAAAGTCAATCTTAGATGAATGGAACCATAACAATTTTGTAGGCAAGGTAGTAGAACATATTTAAAACCTCAGAGTGAAAAAAAATCTCTAAAACAAGGTAAAGGAAAGAGCAAATTAATCTGGCTATGGTCTTTTCCCCTCTCCTCTGCAGAGGTGAAATGTCAAGTCAGACTTTCTCCAATGTCTGTGTATTCTATGGCTCTCCCTCAGATGTGCACCTTCTCAGAGAACCACCTGTGAGCATTATTTACCACTTTGTTTTGCTTTTATTTTTATTCATTTAGTCCTCCAATTTCCTTCATGTTCACTTATTTGATATCTTTTAACTTCCTGTGGTCTAAAGGTCAACTCACTTTGTTTCAAATAAACCAGTGTTTAATAAACAAAAACTGAAGAGCAGCCTAAATGGTAATCTCCACCATAGTATTCGAATGACAAAGGTAGAAAATTCCACAGTTCACTATCCATGAACCAAATCCACCATCATGGTAACCCCAGAGATGAGAAGCCGAAACCATATACATAAAGTCTATGTTGTATGGCTTTAGGATCTGCTTTTTTGGGGGAGAGTTTTTGTATGTCATAGGCAGCATTAAGTGTCTTTTGTTTACTAATGTTTTTTGTTACCCTAAAGTCACATAGGGTCAGAGGTAAAACTCAGCTGTCTATTTCCTAGAGATTTTTACTTGATACCACAGTCCTCAAACTGGATACTTTGTGCTGAACAGGCCCACAAGTGTGTTTAGTTTGGATGTTTAAATTTTTTTCATTGCGATACCATTAATGTACAAATGTATGAGTCTTAAGTATTCAGTGAATAACTTTTGAAAATTGCATGTATGTGAACCGCATTATTCAGCAGCCTCAACAAGACCCAGAACATACTCCTTTTCCTTGCAAGTCTTCTTTCCCACTTCAATCCATTCCCTCCACCTCCCCTTCAGCAAGCACTTGTCTGACTTCTAAGCTACTAGATACAATATTCTGTACACACACACACATATATAGGTAGTTTATGCATCATTTTCTAATCTGTATCATAACTGATTTTTCTCTGTATTTTAGAGAAGCAATATGGGAGAAATTTCGCACTGAAATTGTGAACTTTGAGTTCATTTCTCTTTGTATTTCTGTTAAGTATTGTTTTATATATTTTGTAACAATATTATTAAGTAGATTCACCTTTCAAAAAATCTCAATCTTTGAATTCTGCCTAGAAACACTTTTTGAATTACAGCTCATGCTGTCTCACAACAGGATGGATCTGCTTGCTTTTGGAGAATCTTGCTTATCATGGACAGTGTTATTTGCTTTTTGGTTACCAGTATTCCCCTAGTATCTGACACAGAGTCTTGTACACTGAAGGCATTCAGTGATTCTAACAGACAACTGAGAGCCTTCTCAAGATTATTTTATCTAGATATAGCAAGATAACTGGATCTTAGGTTGCTTGATGTATTATAATCCCATTATAATTCCAATCCTCCAGGGAATGTAATTAAATATGCATCAAGAGAGAAAGGAAAACAAAAACATAAATTTAAGGTACTCTGGTGAGATAGCTGCTAAGACTACATCTTGATACCCAAACTACGGACTTTCTGTATATCAAAAGCTCCTTATTTTGTGCATCTTCTCAACATCCTTCTGAAAAACACACTTGCTATAATACAGTAAGATTTGAAAGTGAATGAGAATACACATAGAATTGGCTTAGTATCCAGCGAATATTGGCTATTATAGCTTAACCAAAGAAGTTTCACCCAAAGAACTGAATGCAGGAACTTGAAAAGACACCTGCACTGCCATTCATAGCTGCATTATTCATGCTGTACCTATCTCAGAAGATCCTAAGATGCAAACTTAGGGTACCACACCCTATACTTCCTACATTTTATCTTCATTGTGAATCAGCCCACCATGTTTATTAAGGATGAGGAACAATGTAATGGAAAATAATGATGACTCTACATTTCTTACACTAATGAATTTTTTTTGCACAGTGAGGTCACAAATGAACATTGTATGTAGGAGAATGTTTTCCCATAAATCTTACATCAGTAGAGTTCCTCTGCAATGCAAGATATCCCATATTTTAAGGAATATATATTTCACTGAGGAAATAGTAAAGAGCTTCCCATGTCTCTTAATTGTATGGTTCCACTGTGAGCCCTAGTAGGATGGGTTGTGAGGAAATTGATGGCTTTCCCACCTTCTTTACCCGAGTAGATCATCTCTTCAGTACGGCCTTTTAATGTCTTTGAAGTTAGTTGGGAAGACTGAGGGCTTCCCCACATTCCTGACATTGATAAAATTTCTCTCCAGGGTGAGTTCTTACAATACATCAAAAGAAATGGAGAACCGAAGGCTTTCCCACATTTTTAACGTTTATTGTTTCTCTATACACAGTGGGTTTTTCATACACGTACAATGAACTGGATTAACTGGTGGCTTTCCCAATTGCTCATATTCTGGGTTTCTTACCACCATGAGTTTTTTCATGTTGTGAAAGGTTGGAATTTTGAGTGAAGTATTTCCCACATTCCTTACATTTGTATGGTTTCTCTCCAGTATGAATCACTAAATGTCTAGCTAGGCCTGAGGAAAGTGAAGGCTTTCCCGCATTCCTTACATTCATAGGGCTTTTCTCAACTGTGAATTCTTAGGTTTCGCTAGGCCTGAGGAAATAGGAAAGACTTTCCCACATTCCATACATTCAAAGGACCACTCTCCAGTGTGACTTTTTAAGTGTCTACTAAGACGTTAAGTAGTAATGAAGGCTTTCTCACATTCCTTACATTTATAGGGTTTCTTTCCAGAGTGAATTTGTTTATGGTTAAAGAAGTATGAGTATGTATCAAAGGCTTCATCACATTCTTCACATTTATAGGGTTTCTCTCCAGTGTAATGCATGTGAACATTAAGGTAGAAAGAATATAGAAAGCCTCTTCCACATTCCTTACATTTGTAAGATTTTATTTCAGTGTGAATTTGAATGTGATTTTCAAGACATCAAGAACTTGCATAGGATTTCCCACATACCGTACATTCAAAGGTCTTCTCTCCAGTGTGTCTTTTTAAGTGTCTACCAAGATGATAAGTAGTAATGAAGGCTTTCCCACTTTCCTTACATTTATAGGGTTTCTCTCCAGTATGCCTACTTACATGTTTGTGTAGGCTTTCAGGAGAGGGGAAGGCTTTCCCACACTCTGTACATTTATAAGGTTTCCCTCTAGAATGAATACACACATGAGTGATACTGTGTGAAGACCTGGCAAAAGCTTTCCCACATTCATCACACTCAAAAGGCTTCTCTCCAGTGTGAGTCCGAAAGTGATTAATAAGATATGAGGACGTTGCAAAGGCCTTCCCACATTTGTCACATTTAAAACGCTTCTCCCTAGTGTGAGTTTTTATATGTCTCCTAAGGCTTGAGGATGCAGCATAAGCTTTCCCACATTCGTTACATTCATGTTTGGTAGCACTGCGAGTTTGCACACGTATACCAAGGCACGTGGAGTGAACAGAAGCTTTCCCATACTCCTTCCATTCACGAGAGTTTTTCTCTATTGTTGAGTTCTCGTTTGTGCCTGAAGATAAGACTCATTAACAAAGGCATTCCCACCATCACTGCCTCGAAGGCTTTCTCTGCTGTGCTAGTTTTCCCATACACAATATTTGGAGTCACACTGATGGCTTTTCCACACTGAACAAACCCAGGATGTTTCTCTCCAGTAGAGGGTTTCTTCTGCACAGTAAGGAAGCTCTTTCTACACTGATTATCCTCATAAGTGTCCCCTTCATTTTGAGTTCTCTTGTGTGTCTTAAGGCACAAATGTTCACTAAAGTCTTTCCCACTCTGCTTACAGTCATAGAGTTCCAGTCCATTGTGGTTTCTTGCCTGTGGAAGAATGGATGAATGATGATTCAAAGACTTCTCTGTCTCAATTCTGTCCATCTCAAAATAGAAACATTAGGATGATGGTGATGATTTTTAACATTTCCATTACATTCATATACTTCCTGCCCTGTTGATTTAAGTTTAATGGTGGAATCATGCTAGAATGATGTGCCATCTACTCTCATCTTAAAAGATTCCTGTACATTTTCATGGAATTGTTTTAAAAACTCAATGTCTAGTTATATAAGTGGGAATGAGTCCTTGTGGGAATTTTGAAGCATGAGTTTCAACCTAAGTTTAGGGTATCCTCAAATTCATACATTCAGAGTATCTCACCAAAACCATTGTTCTCCTCTGGGTGAATGCCACTTAAGCCAAATATCTATCACTTGTGGTGATCTTTCTACTGAACATCTCAATCTTTTCTGAATTGTAAAATAATAAATATGATTTCAAACTTACCATTCTTTACATTTCTATCCCATTGGGTGTTTCTCCCCCTAAAATATCCTGCTGAATTGAGGAGTCTTTGACTTTTTGATTCATTTCCCATTCTAAAGTAAAAGAGAGTAACCAGTTTAAGAACTTGCAGGAAGTAGTATAGGTTAGAATATTATCAGGGAAAGAAAGTAAACAAGTTCTGAATAGAGTATACAACAAAATGAAAGTTAAAAAAGAAACAACAGATTATTTTGTGAGATGATGGGGAATTCTGAGTAAGTGAAAAGTAAGTACGTATGAGCTGAAGAAATCCCAAAGTACTAGAGACTAATGATCTTAGCTTTCTTAACAAGTTTCCTCATTATAATCCCAAACACATGGAAGTTTTCACTGACCACAGAAGTTTTTCATAATTGCTCACCTTGGAGGGCTCCTCTCTCCACTGTCCTAAACTCTCCTTGTTCCAACCAAGAGATCAGAGCCGGTTTGACCGACTGATAGCCTATTCACAAGGAGAGATATATTAACAGAAATAGCTCTTATAAATCATGACAGACCATCCCATTAATCAAATCCTATACTTCTAATGAATGTAGTAAAATAATTTTAAATGAGATAAACAGGCAAACAGCCCCTCCTTCTGTGCCCCCAAAAGATTATCTCTGCTCCTGAAACCCAGTTCTGATGTATATATATGCATTTAAAAAGCATTAAGGCTTTTATGGAAAAGAAAAATAAAGTGGGGACAAAAAAGATTTTCATTCTCATGGCAAAACCAATACATCACTGGTTATCAAACTTTGGTGTCCATTAGAATTATTTCAAGTGTTTGTTAAAACACAGATGACTGGGTCCCAATGCCAGAGTTTCATTCAGTAGGTCAAAGGTGGAGTCTGAGAATGCACATTTCTAAGAGAGTAACAGTGATACTGTTAGTCCTAAAGTCATATTTTTACAAAAACCACCCAAATTAAAATCCATTCATAGAAAGACTAGTGTGTTAATGCCCACTGTATTCCGATTTAACATCACCCATCCTGGAACAAAGAAGTACGTTACACCTTGTCCTCTTCAGTAAGAGGCTACAGGAGTGGTGGCGGTCTTACCCGTGGTGATCAGGTTATTGTAGTTCTCCAGCATCACATCTCTGTACAGGTTTCTCTGAGATAGGTCCAGTAAAGCCCACTCCTCTTGGGTGAAGTTGACAGCCACATCGCCAAAGGTCACAGCATCCTAAGGCATTACACACATGCTGGATTCAGTAAAGTAACACCTCCACCAGTGTTCACTGGGAAATGAAGATGTAGCACCCCACGGCAACAGAGGGATTCAAGGACTCTTACCATCTCCCCCAGGACACACTGGTCCTCGGTTCTCCTCTAATTACACTCACTCATGATTGATATCCTTCATTTTATAGTGGAACCTGTAACACATGAACTCATCTGGCCCAAAGAGCCTAAAATTTCTTTCTGTCTTTTTTCCTTCATTCAGGAATCCCTGAGAAAACTGCAGACACTTGTAAATGCTGATGAATGAATAAACTTTTTTGAGAAATGCACATTCTCATCTTCCTTCTCTGTCAGTGCACAGAGCAAAGTAAGAGTTGTGCAGTCTATCATGAGAATCATATGAGGGGGTAATAATTGAAATACTGAGATTATGCAAGGTAATCTTGTCACCAATATGTGGACAAATGGTCCATCTGGTGGATGCAGTACACCATTTTGTAAAAGGATACACTTTTTTCTTACCTGAGAACAATCTGTCAAACACTCAGTCACCATCCTTTCTCCCTCTGTCTTTTCTTCAGGAAGGCAGAAAGGGTTCTTAGAAAGAACACCTAGGAAAAAAGAAAAAAGGCATAAGCATACAGAGAGGACCATAATTCCCACATTCACGGCCCAGAAGTCATTCCATTCTTGCTTGAAATCCCCTAGTATCCCTGAAAATTCAAGAAATCTCAAGCAAATATACACTACTGCTGTGAAATGCCAGAGTAGCCCTGTCTCATGTGGAGCCAGAAAAGGGGTTGGGGAGCCATGCTGCCCATCTGGAAAAGAGTAATGGCTTCATTTTACAGGTAAGGAAAATTAATACCTGATAATGTGACTCTTCACTTGTCAAGGCAATAAAACACATGAAGAAGATTATATGGCAACTCTAGCAAATGCATATACCAGAAAGCTGACTTAGAGAACAGCGTCCTCTAGCCCACTTCAGCTCTTCCTAGATGAACCAGCAGCATGACCACTCAGGCCCAGACCAAAGAACTCTATACTGTGAAGGCAGAAGCTAAAGTAGAGGTCCTGAAAAAGAGTATTAACAAGGACTTACTATGGTCCATGTCATGGGCTGTCATGCTGCAAAGATGGTGAAATTTGCCTGAAAAATTCCTTTCCTTGATGCCAAGATCATGTCAGGACAGCTTATGAATATAAGTGGATATGGCCATCTCCATCCCCCTGGAGACTGGGTTATCTGGAGCCCTGCTTCATATCAATCATTAATCAACAATTATTGGTAATCAATCACACATCATAAATTAGCTCTTTCTGTGCAGGTAACATATGTGAAATCTACTAAAAGCATATGTTTTATAACAAGAATATCAGTAACATCAATTGCTATTCACTGAGGACATTATGTACCAGATACCTCATTAGGAGCTTATAGCTTACCTATATATTTGGAACAACTTGAACATTGAAACTCTTTTCGACTGTAAATTATGTATGATCTAAACAGAAATCAAGTATATAGGATAAAACTTTAGTGTCCAGTAAAGTCAAAACCCTTCAAGTGAAGAAAATAACGTAGAATATCTCAATTTTTATACTGATTAAATGTTTAAGTAATAGTTTAGCATATGTAAGGTAAAATAAAATATAGTCATATATTTTTCATTTTTGCTTATTGTGGGTACTGAAAATATTTTCATTATATACACGATCTATATACATTATATTTGTATTGGAAAGCACTTACATTTTTAGAGAAACAGAATCTTAGCATAATGACCTCTGTGTCTGTAGTAATGCTTCTTGGCAATGCTGACATTAGGATCAGCTTTGGGGGGAGCTATTGTTTTTTGTACATCATGGGTACCACTGTGTCTGTTTTGGATGCCAATGTCTCCAGTACAAGGAGTGGCACAGAGTCTCGCTCACTGAAGGCACCCAAGATTGGAGATCAACAGACAATGGAGATCTTTCATACCACTCCTCAAGCACGCTGAAATTATAGCTAAATAACCATTCATAACATAATATACAACTCAGTTTTCAGAAATGTATTTAATTATTCTACGAATGGAAGAGTGGGAGGAACACTGTCTTCTTCCGAGCACTCACACCAGCCTTGGTTTATCTGCACACCTCTCACTGGTTTCCCATGGCCTCCTTGTACAGATACTTAGTACTCTGGGTCTTGCACTGGTAGTGGCACCCCAATTCCCTTTCAACATCTGCCCACCAGCCATGGGTCTTCTGCATCCTAGAGGGGTGCTTCCTCCTTCCCCAGTGACTCTTGACTAGTTCTGGCCCTGGCCACCTAGCAAACTTCCTCACAGCCAAAGGGCTGCCATGGCACCTTTTCCAACAAGGTCTGAAGTCCACTGTTGGGGAAAAGCAGCCCCTACATGCTTGGTCTTCCTAAATACTCTTCATAAACTCTAGAATCTAGAGATGGCAGTCTAGGTCATGGTTTTGTGCTAGACTTTCTAATGGCAATTGGAAATGCTGGAGGTGTTTGCACTGTGTGAGGTAATGAAGGGCCAATATCATCTCCTTGCTGCGATCCTAGACGTTTGGTCTCTTAGCTACTATGAGACTGAAATGATGGCGATTCTACATCAATTTCTACTAATTTAACCTATTATATAAACCTTTTTCCCAAAGTAACAGAATAATTTTTTTAAAAAGTGTTAGAAGTCTCTTTACATCTTTATATTACACTTCTCCTGTTTAAATCAAAGTGTGATTTACAGGCTCCCTTCATCTGAAATGTTCTCATTCACTTTATACCTCCTCGCCCTAGCTCAACGACCAGATTAGCTAAATCATATTCATGCTTTCATTTACAACTTAAATATCAACACCTTCTAATACACCTTCTCCTCTCATATTATGCCATTATTATGTCCAGATAACAAACTTGCCAATAATCATTTCAAATGTCTTCCTAAATAAACTGTAAACCCCACAGTAGCAGTAGCACTATCTTTGCTTTTATCTCCATTGTGTCCCTGTTCCTGGCACAGCCTAGGTCATTAAAGTAACTCAGTGATGACTGGTGGACTGTCAGAGAATTGCTAGTCCCCACAAAAATGGTAACTGCATAGATATACACAAAGTGAAGTTTAAAAAAACCCACAAAATTAAATAGAAATCATATAAAACACCTGTGCAGTGTTTTGATTTTTACAATATGAACCAAAATACTGTCCTTCTGAAATGTATTTGAGTATTCTCACTTAGGAAGAAAGTGGACTAGATATAGTTTTTGAAAACAAGTGCCTTGCACTAAAATTTGTTTCTATGTCTGTCCCAAGTAATTTTAATCCTATTTTAATGTTGATTCAGAAACTACCAAATGGCACAAGATTTTTTATGAAAGGGATTTATATACTCAGAAAAATTAAATGTTTTTGCCCTTTGACCTAGAAATTCAACCTTAAAATCTTACCCTGAAAATGCACTTCTACAGATATAAAACAACATATATAAATCATTGCTAGTAGTGCTAGAATCCAGATGCCAGAACAATTGATAGAAAAGTTGTTAGAAAAGAAGATAGTCTGTGTCAAAATATCACCCCACATACCACTTTTTTATTCAAGAGGAAAAGTCTATCTTTAAAATACAGGGTTCGGGTAAAGGGGTTGGGAAGGGATAAATTTGGGAGTTTGAGATTTACAAATGTTAGCCACTATATATAAAAAACAGATTTTAAAAAGTTTCTTCTGTATAGCACAGGGAACTATGTTCAATATCTTGTAATAACCTTTAATTAAAAAATGAAAATAGAATATACATATATATATATATATATGCATAACTGGGACATTGTAATGTACATCAGAAATTGACACACTATAATTGACTGTATTTCAATTAAAAAATAAAAATAAAATAAACTACAGGGTTCTATGGCGGGGGTGAGTACAGCTCAGTGGCAGTGTGCATGCTTAGTATGCACAAAATTCTGGGTTCAGTCCCTAGGACCTCTATTAATAAATTAAAAAAATAATAAAATAAAATACAGGGTTATGGTGATCATTACCTAATCAAATATAGCATTACTGACAGAAAGATGATATAAATCTAAGTCTTCCTGATGAAATACAACTTAAAACATTCAACATCACCTACAGTGTGTTTTGTAAATGATCTTTTGAAGCCTGTAGACCAAAAGTTGGCAAACTATAACTCACAGTCCTGTTTTTGTGAATAAAGTTTTTGCAAATCATTTACCTGTTAAGGTATATCTAAAGAAAATGAAGAACTCATACAACTCAACAGAAAAAAAATCAAATTTAAAAATGGATAGAAGATCTGAATAGACTTCTTTTTTTCCAAAGAAGACATACAGATGGCCAACAGGTAATTAAAAAGGTGCTCAACATTACTAATAAGGGAAATGCAAATCAAAGCTACAATGAGATATCACCTCACATCTCTTAGAATGGCTATTATCAAAAAGATGACAAGTAACAAGTGTTGTTGAGGATGTGGAGAAAAGGGAATCCATGTGCACTCCCGGTGGGAATGAAAACTGGTGCAGCCGCTATGGGAAACAATATGCAGGTTCCTCAAGAATTAAAAATAGAACCACTACATCATGCAGCAGTTCCACTACTGGGCATTCATATGAAGAAAACAAAAATACCAACTCAAAAGATATATATATACTCCTATGTTCACTGCAGTGTTATTTACAATAGCTAAGACATGAAAGCAACTGAAATGTCCATTTATGAATTAAAAAAACATACACACACAACACACACGCGTGCATATACATACATACCCAATACATACACACAATGGGATATTATTCAGCCACTAAAAAAAGGAAATCTTGCCATTTCCAAGAACATGGATGGACCTTGAGGTCATTATGCTAAATGAAGTAAGTCAAAGACAAAGACAGATATCGTACCATCTCACTTATAAGTAGAACTTTAAGAAAGAAAACAAACCAACAAAAAACCTCTAGAAGGTATGGATATAGCAAACAGATTAACAGTTGCTGGATGAGGGTGAAGGGAGATGGGACAGATGGGTAAAAGTGGTCAAAAGGTACAGATTTCCAGTTACAAAATAAGTCCTCAGTATGGGTGTTGATGTTAATTAGGCTTATTGTGGTGATCATTTCGGAATATATACACAAACACTGAATCATTAGGCTGTACACCTGAAACTAATATATGTCAAATACACCTCAATTTAAAAAGAAATTCTAAAATGTGTAACTTTCTAAAACATCTTACTTTTCAAAAAATCATTATAGACAAGAAATAATAGTCAATGCTCTAGGTTAAAGGAGACTAAAAGACACACAAAATTGCCATCTTAAAACCCTAACTGCTCTCTCTTGTTGCTCCTGCTCCCAGTTGGGCTCACTTTCTGTCCTGCCACGCCCTGCTCTCATGAGACACACGTCATCTCCCCCAGCAAGCGGCCCGGCCTGCCGCGGAGGAGGGCGGCACACGGCTCCGCTCTGCCCGGCTCTCAGAGCACGCCACCGCCCCAAGGGGTCCGCGCGCGCCGGACTATGACCTGTACAATGCCTACGATTACACAGCATCACCCATGGAGAAGGCCCTTGTGAAAACCGACATTCAGATAGCTCTTCCTTCTGGGTGCTATGAAGGAGTAGCTCCACGTTCACGCTTGGCTGCAAAACACTTCATAGATGTAGGAGCTGGTGTCATAGATGAAGATTACAGAGGAAATGTTGGTGTTGTACTATTTAATTTTGGCAAAGAAAAGCTTGAAGTCAAAAAGGGTGATTGAATTGCACAGCTCATTCGTGAACGGATTTTTTTACCCAGAAATAGAGGAAGATCAAGTGTTAGATGACACTGAAAGGGGCTCAGGAGGTTTTGGTTCCCCTGGAAAGAATTAAAACTTATGCCAAAAACAAAAAATGAGAAAATGTACTTTTTCCTTCAAAATAAAAACTTTGCTTAAAAAAACCCTAACTGCATCCCCAAACACCCAGAAGTATATTCTGGAACAATGTGGAGGATTTCAGTTTTCACAGAGCAGACAGAGGGTGACATTATTATTTTAAATTTTCTTGGGGGAAATAAAAGTATTGTGGTTTAATTAGCACAATGTCCTTATCTTTACATATATTGCCAAGTATTTAAAGGCACATGCCTGCAGTTTATTTTCAACTTACCCTCTCACACAGTTCACCAAAAAATGTATTTATTTCTCTAGAGAGCAAACTTGCAAAATGCTAAAAATGGGTGAATCTACTTCAACGGACATTAACTGTACTGAACGTTCACATTTCATTTAAGTTTACGATTTTTCAAAAGAAAAATGTGGGAAAAAATATACTTAGTCCAAACATCCGTTAATGAGGTCAACTCTCCTAGAAAGGACAAAAAAAAGCCTTCATTCTTTTCTCTTGGAATATCATGTTTTGAAATTCTGTGGGGATGTACAGGCTGAGGAAGTTCAGATGAAGAGATAAGTGAGTATTCTTGTTTCTCTTTCGTAGAAAGACTTATGCCCTATACAAACTTACACTTCTACACAGAAAAATGGCACCATAGACAGCTATGAAAGTATATTTCTATCTGAATGTAATATGCCAAAAATAAAGAAAGAACGCCAGATTTTCAGATGAAATCTTTTGTATACAAAAGGAAACAGCACAGGGAAATATATACAAGATCTTATGTTAGCTCACAGAGAAAAAAATGTGGCAATGACTATATATATATATATGTTCACGTACAATTGAAAAATTGGGCTCTACACTGGAATTTGACACAACATTGTAAAATTATTACAAATCAATAAAATAAAGTTAAAAAAAAAAAAAAGGAAACAATCAACTTTCCCCCAGTGCTCACCGGAATGTTCCTGAATCTCCAGGTCCGTGAGGCCGCGAGGACACTCGAGTCAACCGACCTCAAATGCGTTAATACTTTCCTCCCGAAGAAAAATCACGACGGTTGCTTTCGAAGCGGGGAGTACAGAATGAAACCGCAAGGATCCCGCGGAAGCGCCCTTACGGCATTTTGCCAAGCGTCCTCTGGGCCTGGCCGTGCCGAGGCCCGAGGCCCGAGCAGAAGCGAGCGCCGCGAGCCAGCCTCTCTAAGCAGGTGCCTAACCTTTAACTCCTTCTTTCACCTCCTTCCCTCGCCTTCGCGCGGGCCTCACAGATACTGGCCTGGCTCGGACCACGACCAACGCCAAACCGCCAGCAGCGGAAAGACCCCAAGCGAAAGAATGTCGCCACTCCCACTTCCGGCCGAGAGCCGGAAGAGGCGGGGCTTCAGCTTTGGCTCTGTCGGTTGCTTTCGACTATGTTAGGCAGAGAAGTTCTAGTTTTTCCTGGCTTGGGTACCAGTCGGTCCCGAGTAGAGTAGGTGCGCGGGCTAGGTACTGAATTAGCCCCAGAAACAAGGTTGAGGCCGCAACCAGTCCTTAGGCGGGGCTATGGGCGAAGGCGCAACCTATTCCTGAGGCGGAGTTGGACGTGGGACCACACGCAGTGGGTATTTAAACTGCTTACAATTGAAGCCTTAAAGGTGAGGCTGCGGATAGGGACCCACTTCATGCCAACACTTCAAAAGGTCTACGTGGCTCTCCTCTCTTTCCTAGGTCCCTAACAGTGATTTTCCCATATCGATAATCCTGCCAATCCATGAAGTAGTGTATCTCCTCCATTCAATCCCACGAAGTGAGACACCATGCCCAACGCTAATGGTGTCCCCTGTATCTGGGGATTTTTCATCGTTTTTAAATCAGTAAGCAATCTATAAGACTACCATTATGTTTGCTAGACCTCGCAGCTACGTTGTTCGAAAGACTTAGAGTCCCCATCCCCCCCTTTTTTCTGGTAGAGGAAGTGGGGATTGCTCGTAGCCATGCAAAGCCTCAGACTTTGTATTTTATTTTTAAATTTTGGTCTCTTCTTTCCTCTGTTTTTTTCCTTTTTTTTTTTTTGGTATTTGCCTGATAAGCTCCTAGTGTTCCCAAGTGACCCTATCAACTTCAGAGGGACTACAGTCTATCTGAGAGAGCAACGTGGGGGAATCCCTGTTTTTTAACAATTTGATTTTCAGGAAGATGCTTTTACAAGTTGAAAGGCAGCGACACTCAAGAGAGCCCAAGTACACTGACCAAGAGATTTACAAACTGATTTGAGTTGAGAACCGTCTCAGGTTTCTAGGGAGAGAGAACAAAATGTTCCTGCCCCTTTTCTTTTTTCATTAAACACTGGGCCACCAGTCGGGAACAAATCACGACAGAAGCAAAGCAAGGAGCAACAGAAGAGACAGGTGAAGCCTGCTGGTGTCTTTGGTGGGGACAGCTGCTGGGGACCTCCTGATCTCTTTGTCTCCCACAAGGGATGTCCTGGTAGAGGTGCTGTAAGGCATGTAATAAATAACATAATCTGAGGAAAGGTTAAGTTGTTTCTTGTTGTTCTTAAAAATCAGTAGGAAGAAAATGTTTTCAGCTAGGTCAACAGCTCACATGTGTATCAAGTGAATTAGAATTTTTATTATTAGAGGGAAAAAGATGAACACTACATAAGAATCAAACGACGTGAGTGAGTCAGTTTTCTTGGGTCTCTCCCACGAATATGTGTTAATAAACTTTTTCTCTTGTTTAAAAAAAAGAATGAAAGGACAATTTACCAAAAACATAGAAAATGACAACATTTGTATGCATCCAGTTATACTGCCTCAAAAAAAAAAAAGAGAATTTAACAATCTGACTACCCATAGTCATAGGGGGGCATTTTAACATACCTCTCTCAGTAAAGGGCAGATCAAGAGATAAGGTTTGTTAATGATACAGATTTTAAAAATGCAGATTTATCCATCAGATATACTGCAAATTTGTTATATTTAACAATTATAGAACAGTGTTTTCAACCATACTTGAAGGATTCTTGAAACTTGACTTTATGTGAGATGTATCATTTGAAACTGACATCCATTGTAACAGAGTGTTTTAAACCAGTTAGGATTTTATTTTTCTCATGTTACATGAAGTCCAGAAATAAGCAACCCACAGTTGCATATATACAACCAACTAGTATTGTATGTCCCTATTATGTAATCAGTAGTCTATGACTGTCATCCTGTTGGTCTATTCTTTAAGGGAAAAAAAAAGATAAGACACAGGGCAAATGAAAGAGAAAATGCCAGATTCTATGCTCCCATTTCCATGGAATTCTTTAGAATCCACAATAGTGACTTCTGCCTCTTTGTCACTAGCCAGGACTGTGGGCTTACAGGCATTCACAGCTGCAAGGAAAGCTCGGAAATGAGTCCTTAAAAACTGTCCACACTGTCAACTTAAACACAATTGTAGTTTTGTTTCTTTAAGGAAGAGAGGGAGGAATGGATATTGGGACAGTGACTTCTGTCTCACGCATTAGGCCACATAACAAGTCCTTAATAATTTTCTGTTTGAATCTATGTCACACAGAATCTTTATCATGTAGACCATGCATTCTGTGCATAATGCAATTAAACTAGAAATCTATAACTAAAAGATAACTAAAATATGCACAGAGTCTGCACATTAAAATATGTATTTCTAAATAACCTATAGTTTAGCCCAAGACACCTTGATGAGAAATGGAAAATATTTAGTACTTAACTACAATGAAAACATTATATAGCAAAACTTTTGTGATGTAGATCAAGGGGAATTTAGAGTGCTATGTAATCTTAAATACTCATCAATTAATGAGTTGTCACATTTTAAAGATTAAACATTCACTGACAAATACAGTCACAGAACCATAACATTTATAAAGTTGGTCCCAAAAATTGTGCGTGAAGGCTTTCTAAATTGGTCACAATATGGTTTCTCTCCAGAGTGAGTTCTAACACGAGGAGTGAGGTGTGAAGGACCCTTTAAGGCTATCCTGTAGTCGTTTCATTCATAGACTTTCTGCCCAGTATGTATCCGCTTGTGCATTATAAGGTTAGTGCTGGTGCTGAATGCTTTTCCACACTGAATACAGTTATAGGGCTTCTCTCCTGTGTGAGTTCTCATATGTACCCTTAGGCAAGAAGAATTCCTAAAGGCCTTCCCACATTCTTTGCACTCATAGGTTTTCTCTCCAGTGTGAGTTCTCTTGTGCACAATAAGATAAGAGCCTGTGCTGAAGGATTTTCCACACTGATTACACTCATAAGGTTTCTCTCCAGTGTGAGATCGTGTATGTTTCTTAAGGGATGACTGGTCAATAAAGGCTTTCCCACAGTCACTGCATTCGTAGGGCTTCTCTCCAGTGTGAGTTCTCATATGTTTTTGAAGGGATGACGGAACAGCGAAAGCCTTGCCACATTCCTTACAGTCGTAGGGTTTCTCTCCAGTGTGAGTTCTTTTGTGCACATTAAGATGGGAGCTCTGACTGAAGGATTTCCCACAATGATTACACTTGTAAGGTTTCTCTCCAGTGTGTGATCTCACGTGTTTCTTAAGGGAAGACTGAAAAACAAAGGCTTTCCCACAATCACTACATTCATAAGGTTTCTCTCCAGTGTGAGGTCTCATGCATATCTGAAGGGACAAGGGGCCAGTGATCACTTTCCCATGTTCATTACATTTTGAGCTTTCCCCTACAGTACACATTCTTTCATGGACACTAAGGGAAGATCTTTTTCCATAGTCACTGTTTTCACAGAGTTTCTCTCCAGCAGGTATTTGTTCATGTACTGAAAAGGAGTGTAAGTTGAAGGACCTAAGATGTTGATTACACTCAGAAGATTCCTCTCCTGTGAGAGTTAAGTGTTTTCCAAAGAATGACTCTTGACTGAAAGCTCTTCCACAATCATTAAATTCAAAAATTGTCTCTCCAGTGTGAGTACTCACATGATTCTTAAGAGCTATGGGATGGCTGAAGTCTTGCCCATATTCTTTATATTTGTAGCATTTCTCTCCCTTACAATATCTTGTACAAATAAGGTGACAGTTCTTTCTGAAGAATTTTCCATAATGATTAAATTCCCAGAGTTTCTCACCAGGGTGAGTTGGTGCCTATAAAATAAGGAATAAGTGGTGACTAAAGGTTTGCTTACTTTCATCATATTTATGGGAATTCTTTCCCATGTGGATTCTGCCATATAGAGGCAGCACATTATTACGACTAACATTTTTACCATGTTCAGGGTGTGTGTATACTTCTTACCCTGTTAGTTCTTTCAAGTTGAAATAGCTGAATATTCTTCCCACAGGCCCCACAGTATTCCTTCCCATCAAAGGGTATCCTAAATACAGAGTTTTTCTAATTATGAGTGAAGAATGAATGAATTACATATTAAATACTTAATAACAGAATCACATTTAAGTAAATGTTTACTTTTTGGTTTTCTCTGCAAGGTAGCAAGTTTTGAGGTAGGTCTGGAGATTCCTCCAATTTTATGAGATTCATAAAGGCTTTCCTGAGGCAGCTTTCTGGTGAGTGAATTCCACCTGCCTCAAGTGTCTCCCCTTATTTGGGTGCTGCTGCTGTTTTAATTCACTAAAATTCACAGAGTTCGCCTACTCTAGAAAACTAGGAATCACTTCTGGTGAATCTTACCATTTTTATGCCATTGGAAATATTTTCCCCAGGAATATTCTGTGTAAAGATTGCATCTTTTGATTTAAATTGAGTGTCCCATTCTGAAAGTGAATGGAGAAAATTTTTATAATTACTGGGAGAGAAAGTAGAGATGAAAGAAAAAAGGGGGCAGGCACTCTATGCATTTGATTTCTAACACTAAATATAGGAAGAAAACATGAAAGAGAAGATGCAACCAGTGACCAGAGAAATTATTTTCGGAATTTGGCTCTAGGAGGAGATGCCAGTGATAGGGACAAGCAATGGAAATGGGCAGTATTTTGCTTACAAAGGATTCT